TGTTCAACTATATACCCAGTCCTCAGGGGTTTCCCCCCCCCAATCTCCCAGTAAACAGTTCCTTGGTTTATTCTGACTTGATTTCATTCTCATTGAGACAGACCTTTCTAATATTTTTATAGTTTTATGTTGCAAGGTCATTTTCTATGTTAGTCCAGCCTTCTGGAACATCATTACCTCTGCCTAATTTAGCATTATAAGATTAATGAAAATCATCATCTCCAACCCTCCATCCAGCTCACCCATAAAGAAACATAATGGGTTACATTTCCCGGCCAAATCAGTTACACTGAACTAACCTTGTGTCTACCATTATAGATAGCCATTAGCCACCTGGCGTGACTACAGTGAAGACCAGCCTTCCCCAACATGCCTGTCAAGAGCTATGCTCATTGGGGGTATTCTATTTACACCTAAAAGGTATTTGAAGCAGCAAGCTTGTTTGTGTGAATGTCACATTGAATGAAATGAAAGAATAGATAAAAGTAAATTGCTGTGAGATTCCCATTCATTATTTTTAATACACATCATATATAAAGACCATAGCCCGTATGTACACTTAACTGGAGACCTGACTTCCCTTAGTCAACCTTTCTTCTCAGTCTACACAGAGCGGAGTGGGAAGAAAAGAGTAATCTCCCTCCAATAGAATCTGTCTTGCTGACTGCAGGTGCCCCCGAGCTACAAGATATCATGCATTTTCTTCTCTAAGTTTCAAATGGTTTTATTCCTTTGGATATTTTTCCCCTCCCAAGTGATTAGATTAGAAACATAAGAGTAATCGACAGCTGTAACCCATGGGATCTACTTTTGTTACATGTTTAAAAAACATTTACCTTTTGTTTCTGCTTTGGTAAATTTTTAGCAAGGGAAAAATTTAACAAGTACAAGTATCTACCCAGAGGAAAATAGCTGTAGCAAATACAAAGTATTTTAGGCTGTGAGGATAGTATCGGTACCGTTAATAAAGTCCAGTCAATAGAAGTTTTCATTATAAAGAAAAAATTACTGCAATCTCTATGTACACACACTTTACAAAGTAAGATGACTTTTTTTTGGTGAAGGGGAGGAATCTGTCGTGGGGCTTGAACTGTAGGCCTGGGCACTGTCCCTGAGCTCTTTTGCTCAAGGCTCATGCTTTACCATAGCTCCACTTCTGGTTTTCTGATGGTTACTCTGAGATAAGAGTCTTGGGCACTTTACTGCTCGGGCTGGCTTTGAACCATGATCCTCAGATCTCAGCTTCCTGAGTAGCTAGGGTTACAAATGTGAACCACTAGCCCACAGCTCAAGCTGACTATTTTTATAATATCACACAAATATTGATTTGCAGACAGCAACATTAGCTAATTGAACATTAGCTTCTGACACTCTCTTCTTTTTCTTTTTCTTTTTGCTTTAGGGTACTTTAGTTGCTTTTTAAAAATTATCCTTAAGTAGTCGTACAAAGGAATTGCCATTTAACAAAGCAGTTTATGAAGACAATGTACCTTGATTAATGTCACCCCTTTCAATCAATGTCACCCCTTTCAATATTCCCAACCTCCCCCTCCCTACTCTTTTCTTCCTATCATTTCAATCCTATAAAACACATGTATTGGTTTTCTTAGTTTTTTCATTTTATGTTATGTGAGGACATTTACCTCTGTCACTGTTCATATTCATAAGGATATAGCCTAATAATATGCTTATAAATCTGAGGCCCAAAGCAAGATTAAAAAACAATTTCAAGAGAAAAAATGTCTTTCTACTGAAAGGACCCAGGCACTAAATATTATTTGTGAATCCGAATTTCCTGCAAAATGAAGCTCCCTACTTCTGTACTACTCGTGATGCACCAAATGAAAATGTGCATTTCCTAATTTTCAAGTTGACTTGAAATTAAATGCCTGCTAGTTTTTAATCAAAGGGGCTATTTGCTCACCAAATAACATTTTCAGTGGAACAGGATCTATAGAATAGCATTAAATCAAATAGTGGGATTCTAGAGTGAGAGAACTTTTAAAAATCATTCTGTCTGTAAAAGTCAGGGAGCTCCAGAGAAACAAAACTAGTACTGGGGTGTGGTGGGAAAGGGAGAAGGAAATGCACGGGTATTGCATCTGTAGATTGCTTTTGGTAGTACAGAATTAATTTTCACAATATTAATTCTGCCAATCCATGAACAATGAAAGGTCTTTTCCATTTTCTAATGTCTTTTTTGGGGATAAAATGCCACCTCTTCTTTTACTAATCTTGTAATACCAAGCTACTCAACTATATATTTTTCTTTCATCGATGTATTTTATATTTTTCTTTCATCTATACATTTTAAATTAATGTTATATGGAAAACATACTGTGTCTGTTTTTCTATGTTATGATTTACTAACGCTACTGCTGGTGTAAGTGAGCGCCATTATATTCATTCTCAATTCCTCTTGGTTTAATATTTTGGTTCTCTTCCTCTTTTTTTTCCAAAAATATAGTTTTATTTAAATGGATTTGATATTTTTACGAGATAATATGTAACAAGATAAAATATGATTATGTCACATGCAAACAACTTATAATATTCTAAGACTAAGACAATTATAAAAGAATATATACAGTGTAACTCCAATTTAATATATAGTCACAGAGATGAGAGAGAAATGACTGAAATACTACACAAAATAATGAACAGTGCTTGTCACTAGATTACAGGATTAGGGATAAATTATTTTTATTGATAATTTTTAAAAGTTTTTGTAATGAATGATATTTTCATAGCCAGAAAACAGTAATTATGACCTTAAGGTGAATTAACCTTTTTTTTAAAATTGATGGTTTCACACCCAAACACCTGTTGATTCCTTGTACAATTGCAAGTTAGATTCTAAATCTAGCAGTTAAGCACAAGGGCATCTCATATTTCTTTTCCTCAGACAGAACAGAAATATGTGTAATCCCTGCAAAGCACTTGGTTGCAAACATGTATGTGCTTTGAATGCAATAAGGCAGATTGGAACTGAAGCTATTTTCTTTGCTCACCTGCAATAATGTTATGATTTAGCCTGTAGGATTTGCCTGAAAATGGATTCTCTAAAGGCAGATAAACTGCATCCCTGGATAAAAAAAGCTTCTGACATATATCAAAGATGAGCTGGTTATTGACCTGTTTGTATGCAGTATATGCTATTTCTTATGGTAACATCACTTTCTCAGTACTGTAGATTGTGGTAAATTATTAAGAATGTGAAGAAGCCTAGAGTGGTCTGATCTGTGAAATCTGGCACGAAACATCTGGAGAGACAGTTTCATAGCCACAACCTCATAATCTTAAAATACATTTATGAAAAGACTGAACCAAATCCACCTTATTATTGCTGATAGGAAAACAACTCAAAGAGAATGGATTGGCTATTTATCATAACCATGCAATAACCAAAAAGAAAATTAATTGAAAAATAGTAACCCCTGAGGTAGGTACCAAATGAACGAACAGGTTTGCCAATGCAAATTGAAGAAAATCATTGACATAACTATGTTTGGCCCCCTCTTCCTCTTAAGTAGATAATCATACTATGTGAAGATAATAATGCCTTTTTCTTTTCTTTAACAATAGTTCAATGTGTTTTGTTCCTTGCTAAGTAAGGAAAGACTACTGGCAAGAAGCTTTGCTGTGTTTCTATAGGCTAGTCTCCTCACCTTGCCAAGCCTGGGCTCCTCCCTCTCCCTCTCCCTCCCCCTCCCCCTCTCCCTCTCCCCCCCCCTTCTCCCCCTCCGTGCTGGAATCAGCTGTTTCTAGTGATTCTCTATTCTTGGCTCTCTCCCCGCCCCTCTCTCTTTCTCTCTTGGTGTTGAGAATCAGCTGTTTCCATCGCCTAGTGGTTTTTTTCCCCTCCCCGCTCCCTTCCCCTCCCCTCCTCACCCCTTCTTGACTGGGACTTGGTCAAAGATCTCACTGAGATGCTGCCCCAGCTCAGCTGCACAATTCTTGGAACATTATATTCTAATTCCAAAATGGAATGCTTTTTAATGTTTTATTGTTATAAAAGTGATGGATGGACAGAGGAATTGCAGTTAAGTAAGTCAGGTAAAGAGTACATTTCTCTCCCAGTTTTTCCTTCCAGTCCCCACCCACAAGCTGTATAGTTCACTTTTGTGGGGGTGTCCGGTTGTGGGGCCTGAACTCTGGGCCTGGGCACTGTCCCTCAGCTCTTCAGCTCAAGGCTAGCACTCTACCACTTGAGCCACAGAGCCACTTC